AGGAAATTTAGTAAATTACCCAAGACCACTTAGCTCATTATAATAGCAACTGGTGAAATTTGTAAGATGGTTATTCAGTGCTAGGGTTTATATTAGCTGCCTTATATAATTTATCCATAGTCTTCACAACACTCCTGAAAGATTTATATATGAGAAAAATGAAGCAGAGAAGATATGACTTACCCAGAACTACTCCACAGTTAAGTCATGTTGAATTTGAATCCAGGTCTGTCTGACTCAAAAGACATGTACATTCTTTCCTCACATCATTCTGCCTCTCTGGGTAGAAGTGCATCTTTTCTAGAATGCAGGTGTTAGCACTCTAGTCCAGTGAGTCAACCAGGCTATTAGTATTGTGTCCTCGGCACTAGTGCAGAAATCACTGGGGCAGTAGGCAAGATGGCGACTAGGGAGAGTGGCTGAAAAGCCCATGACTGAGGGAAGGAAACTCGCTTTATTAGGGCAATGAGTGTAAAGGTTAGCAGCTGTGAGAACATGAGAGTTAAGAAATATGCCCTCTTAAATAAATCCTTTTGTAGTCCTAACATCTGATTGGAAGACAAATTCTTTGGTCAGAATTCATAGTAATGATGAATATATGTGATTTTTTTTTTTAATTTAGGCTTTTCTTATAGTACAGATACTAAAATAACTTCTTAATTTGCACTACATAATTGATGAAATGGAATGCTTTCCTTCCCAGGTGACATTGATTAAAGTATTTTCCGATGTCAAGAGAACATCATAAAGTATAACTATAAAGATTCAATGTCAAAAAAATTCTCATTTTTTTACTTTATTAGACATTTGAAAAATTACCAACAGCTGCACATAAAGGCAAAAACTGAATGCATAAACCAGAAATGAGAACATTCATATTGTGGGTAAGAAAAGGATACAGGAACCTAGAAGATCTATTTTATATGAACCATGTAGTACCACATCATTGCAAGATTCTCACAGCCATTTATAATAGTCAACTGAGAAAATACTACTTTTCTACTGCTCCAATTAATCTACTAAAATTTTAGTAAAAGATTTTACATTAGTAATTTTTTTACAGATGTTTAATATGAATCATATTTTCCAAAATAGTCAAAGGAAATATTTTGTGTTTTAGTTTTACATGTAGGACTAGTATGTGACTTTTGGAAACGTCTCTGTCAATACTTGTTTGACACTTATAAGTGATTATTTAGTAGGAGTATTAGTCCACAGATCACTAAATGTTAACTTGAATATTTCTGAATGATCAACAGTGTCTCATTTCAATGGTGGTATCTCTTAAATGTATCAAAAAAGCGAAATGTGTCAGATGATGTGGCACTTCATATTTGTTTTAAAAATGAAAGTAATTTTCTATGTTTGAGTATAGTTCAGTGCAACTGAACAAATACTACTATCCTATTACAGAAGAAAGTAAGAGGAAAAAATATAAGTGATTTTGTTTTCCATAAAGAAACAAAATTTTTTGCTCTTGTACAGCACATTGTACTAAAAGATTTCAACTCATCACTTATGACGATGAATTCACTATTGTGTCCATAGCACATCTGTGAAAAATAGACTTTATTACCATTTTATAGATGAACAGAATTGAGGATGATCATACAGTAAACTGGTGGCAGGAGGAGAATAGAATAAAGACTAATTTCAGACATACCATTTGTAGCAGGCAGAGTAAGGGCCCCTCTTATATTGCCCATATCCTAACCCCCAGAACCTGTGAATGCATTAGGTCACATGAAAGTTGCAGATGGAATTAATGTTGTTAATCAGCCAACTAAAATAAGGAGAGCATCCTGGGTTATCCAGGTGGGCTCAATATAATCACAAAGATCCTTTAAAAGTGAAAGAGGAATGCAGAAGAGATCAAAGTGATGTAGTAGAAGTGCTTGGCCCACTGTTGGCTTTGAAGGTAGAAGAGAAATGCTGGAAAAAAAACAAAAACAAAAAAACAGATTCTCCCCTCAGAGCCTCTAGAGAAAATGCAGCCCTGCCCACACCTCGATTTTAGCCAGTGAGACCCATGATGCATTTCTGATTTCCAAAAATGTAGGATAATAAGTTTGTGACATTTTAAGCCACCAAGTTTGGTAATTTATTATAGCAACAAAAGAAAATTAATAGACAGCTGCTAATCAGAAGCAGTTAATACAAACATTCATTAATAGAGACTATAATCAATCAATTTGAGTAACCAAAGAACAAACTTTAGCCTAGAAATGCAAGTCCATTTTGATTCCTTGGCATAAAGAAAGGTGGGAAAGGAAATACATAACAGGAATGTTTTTTCTCTTCTACTAGAATACTACTAGAAGAGAAAGGAGATTAATAAGAACGTATTGATTTAAAAGAGGTAAGAGTTTTAGAAAGGCTATTTGGAAATGCCTTCCAGGAGAAGTTTAGGAATCTGTCCCTAGAGATCTTTAAGATACACAGTCATCTATCCATTTTATCTACCTTGGATGGCCTAATTATACTCTTGCCTGATGACAAGAGTCTAGATTAGACAATCTCTCATAGCCTCCCACAACCTAAATATTCTACGCAGATGTGAGTCTATTCAATTCAGTGCCACAAATATGTAGTTATTTCCTATCTACTTAATATAAACCTTTATCCTGACTTTCCTAACATATTATGTAAGAAAAATAAATGAGAGAAAATTCTTCTTTATTGCAGAATCTCAGCTAAAAAATGCAGATGATAAAATTAGATTCTATCTAGAATATATCCAAAATGTAAAATTGCCATTTTATAACCCCAGTGTAAAATAATGAATCTGGGCAATGACCACCAATAGATGCTAAACCATTAAGTGAAAATTTGATGGTGAATTTTATAATGAAGAGATCAGGCTGAGACCACCTAAACATACCAGTTTTAACATCACTAAGTACAACACCAACCATCATGTACCTCTTTTGTGAACTATTAGGAAATATACGGTATCACCTACAAAATATTATTTCTCCGCAAAAGCTGAATTCGAATCTAATGCACTTCCAAATCTAAATATCTTTTCATAGGAAATACAGGAATAGAGGATCCAGTTCAAAAATATAGAATAAAAAAAAATGCAGAATGGAAGCAACCAGTTAAATACAGAATGTGGACCAAGATTTATAACCCAATTTCTCCAGCAAATCAATGACATTTAGAAAGGGAAAGAAAAGAGAATTGCTATAGAATAAAAGATATTTAAGAGACATAAACATAGGTCTATGCAACACGTAGACCTTGTCTGGATGCTGACTCAAAAAAGAAACAATTCTAAAGAGGTCTTTTAAGGTCACCAGAGAAATTTAAAGATGGACTAGGTATAAAATGATATTACAGAATTATTGTTATGTGATAAAGGCATGGCTTTATTAAAAATATTTCTCATCTGTTAGAGATGCATACTGAAATATTCAGACTTAAAAGTATGATATTCAATTATGATTTTAAATGTCCAGGTAAAAAAAATGTGTGTGTGAAGAACACATGAAACAAGATTAGCAAAACAGTGATATGTACTCAAGTTGCTTGGTGAGAAATGAGGATCATTATAATATTCTCTCTCCTTATTTGTTTGGACTTTTCCATAATAAAAAACTTTAAAGGATAAAACAATAGTAAATAAATAAAAGGGTACCTAGTTCATTTGATTATCCCTCACTATTGAAAAAGTGAAAGGTGGTATATTTGTGCTAGAAATTAGCTTTCTGTTTGTATTTTCATTAGCAATCTTATTTCTGTCACTTTAAGATTGATTTCCTTTCGCCTCATATGGAAAGGAAGTTCACAATTGACCAAATTCTCAATCTGTATAACCCAAAGGAAAAATGATCAAAAATAAAATAATACTTCTAACGCTCAATAAATAAAGGAGCAGTAGATCTGTTTCTCTCTGTGTGGGGTTAAGTATGCTGCATCAAGTTACTTTAATAGTAAAGAGTGAATGTGGCAGGAGAATATTTGCAAAATTTCAAATTCCTTATGGTTTATATGGTCAAGGTTAGTGTTATATTTGTCAAAAGCGTCTAATTCTCAAAATTTTTAGTAACTGTAATTTATTTGCTTTAAAGTAATTATCTTATGATGTAGAATCTAGTCTAAACATTTAATTAACGATGTTACCCTGTTGCCTGAGTTTAAAATACAACAGAGACTTCTCTATGAGGATTAAGGGGCTACAGAACAAAACGGATTCATCTTCAACATTCTCTGCATACATGCATAAATGCTAGATCTGATCTACAGTAGTTCAAGTTACAAGATTAAATATCTGGAGTTCATGGAAAGACTCTAGCAATAATCCTAGCAGTGAGGCAAAATATAAATCTTGGACTGTTCAGAAAGCCTTTGAAAGCATTCATAACAGATGATCTCTTTTTAAAATGTTATTCTTTAAAAAGGTCTTATTTGCAAATAATTTTTCTGAACAAGATTTGAAGGTGACCACATTACATTTTAATGTGATTAAAACCTTTTCAAAAAAATGTAAAACTTTATAATATATATGAAACCTTTAATCTTTTTGTCTGAAATACTCCACATTTTTAAAAAGATAATACATATTCTTTTCTTTTTAAAGGTAGCTTATTACAAAGAGACACCCAGAAAGCCATAGTTGTTATTTTCCACCAGAACAAAGTAAAGACACCAAGGAGGAAACTTAATCTACATAAACAAGCTATATTACAGAGATTCAAACCAGACATTTTAGCTTATTTTTTTCTCTATGCAATTTTAGTCATGGGGCCAGGGATTGTAGGTACAATGACAATAAAGTTGATTATTCCTGTAGTATATGCAGAATATGCATTACATAGTTTTTGATGTAAAAAATTGTGCTATCGGTTATAACAGTTATAAAGACTGTTTGTAATTCTGGCATTCTACTTGGCTGAGGATGTAGAAGAAATGATGCTTACCTTCAACATTTATGTATCATGGAATGCCCATTACATTTTACCTGCCTTATTCCCATGCCTGAAAGCCAAACATCTTACCGACTACAGCCTCAGTGTATTTCCCTTCCGCCGGAAGAGGGAAGTATTGGTTTGGTGATAAATTGCTGCCATATCCCAGGAGAAAACCTTCCAGTTTTGTGTTAGGACTTGGACGTAGGAACTTCAAGAGAATGGAATCACTTGTGGTATTGATGTGGACTTTCAGGTTTGGCCTTTTACCTAGAGATGGAAATGAAAATATAGGTGGCTGTTACTTTACCTCATTAACATTCCAGGACGATTTTGGAGCAAAGGTTATCTGTATTGAAAATCAGGTTATCTACTTAGTTACTCAATATCACAATACACCCATCTAAATAGCTACAGTATAGGTAATTTTTAGAATTAAATTTGTAAAAGTCTCAGAAAACAGACTTTATAACATATGAAGCAGTCTAGAATACAAAGTAGAATTGCAGGATTTAATATTTGGTAATTTGTCATTGAGAAGTAGATGGGATTTAAGGATATTCTGGCTCTTCAGGATTGCTCAGAACCTTCATTTTATACATACTGTCTGGGAATGGTGAAAAGATCTATAATTGGTAATTAAATTACTGCACTTTGAAAATCCCCTGCTTCCTCTATGATGCTCTTTGGCTATACCTCCACAAGACTTAGTGATTTATAGAGTTGGAAAGGGATGAAAGTGAGAGGGTTTCAGCTTAAGGGTAACTGAGATGGCAGAATAGGGAAGTCTGAAAGAGGAGAAGAGTTGAGGAGAAAGGTAATTTGTTCTATTTGAAGCTCACTGGGTCAGTGAGACAGTTACATGGAGATACCCAACAGTATGTTGAATGCTCAGGATGCTCAGAAATGGGATACAGATCCACCTGGATGTCTTTAGTTTCTAAATGATCATTGGATGATTTTTTTTTCAAAGAGACTATAGAGGGTGAGGGAAAAAATTTAAATTTCTAAGGCCTGTTTTTCTTTTTAAACTGTGCTGGCAACAGGGGCAGATAAGTACAATAACCAGAGGCCTTGACCAAGTAGTGAGGAAACAACACTGTTCTTTATCTCTGAGGCCAGAGGAACCGAGTTCAAACGCCAGCTCTGCCACATACTTAAGAGTAGGGCCTCTGGCTACTCACTGAACAGGCTTGAGACTTCATTTCCTGATTTGTAAATTATGGATAATGGACAACAATGTCTACTTTGAGAGGATGTTCACAAAGATTAGTGCAAATAGTACTACCTCAAAGCTGGCACATAGTAATTACTCAATAATTGGTTACTTGATTAGGTCCATTCATAACCCTTCAACCACAAATTAGAAGTCCAAAATGGTTTTTAAAATTTTTGTAAGTTTATGTCAAACTAATTTAGTAACAAAACAGGATCTTAACCATAATTAGGCCACTTAGTCTTTTATAATCTCACTGAATACTCAGTGTGACTATTTACATGTTTAACTGTAGAAATAGTGATGTGTTTAAGGAGTGCTGGTCAAGATACCACTGAAGAGATTACTTAATAAATATGGTGTAGGTAGGTATCCTAGTACACTTTAAAATCCAAAGATTTCTTGATTTCTAAAACATCTCAAATCCAAAGATTTCTTGATTTCTAAAACATTTAATGGTTTGGAACACTAGTCGTGCAATGACAGTTATCATTCAACAGTTACTGTCTGGCTCCAAGTGTTTTAGATAAGAGATTGTGAACTTCAATTATTTTCTTTCTTTATTCCACATGGATTTCACATTTTTAAAAAGTATTTTACTATTGGGAAGATTGCATTTACAAATTTAATAATTCACATGCTATTTCTCATTAATCAAAGTCATATTGTATATATACCAGTCAGTACCTCTGAACACCATGGGTTTTCCAGTCATATACTAAATTCATATTATTCCAGCCAAAATAAGCCTGGACCTCCTCAATATAGCCACATAACAGGATTCCATTAAGCCATTGAAAAAATAAAAATAACCCTTTCTTGAATACCAGCTTGTGGGAACCATTGTTACCTCAGCATCCAGTACTACTGTTTCTAGATATACTTTGTACTTCCCAAGAATTTGGTGTAATTTCTGTGAACTTCTTGATTCTCAGATAGCTATTCCTATACTTGTGGCAAAGTTGAAACTCAAAGTTTTAAAATATTAGGTGGCTTATCCAAAGTCTGAGGAAGATTTATTTAGTGCAGCGAATCTAGTCCAATTCTCTCATAGCACAAACAGCTAAATTGAGGGCAGCCTCACCTCTGTCACTCTGCAAGTTAAGTACAGGGTCAAAACTGGATATCAGGTTCTCACTAGGTTGGACTTTTTCAATCGTTTTTATTGAGAACTTCATCATTAGCCAATAGAGTTAGGAGAGGCCAATCCCCAGACATAATATTCAAGTTGATGTTAACTGCTGATGTTTTGTCCTAACTTCATTAGATTTTGATGAGGTGGTTTATACTTCAGATATAATAGATTTTGTCCAGGCCAATTTTTTCCCTTCCTAGTTATGTTAACCCTAGAGTTACTTCATCCTGTTCAACAGAATAGAACAAATATAAGTCAAGCACATACATATTCTGCTACCTTAGAAGGTTATCAGATCTCACAATAAATCAAAACATAGCTGGCCTGTTTTCAACACCTTGTTGGGAAGAAGAAATTAAGGAATCAGTGTACTTAGGCTGCATGTATGTTTGACTAAAAGCTGAGAGTCACAGAATCATCACATTAGACTTTGCTCATAGATTTTGTCCTGATGTACCACATTATCTATCCCCTTGGAAAGTGGAAAGGATGGCTACACCAAGTGAGAAAAACACAGGCTGTAAACAGAAGCACTGACTGATAGAAGTGGAAGTGTTCTCACTTCCTCTGCACAGGAATTTTTATGACTCCAGTCTTTCTCCCTTTTACTAATAACCTATGTCAACAAATACATCAACATCATGTGACTTTTCAAATGAATTGGCAGTTAACTGCCCTCCTTAATCCAAAATTCCAATTCATGCTACTTTCTAGTGCTAAATTTTAAAAAGCCTCGAAAAAGTGAAACACACAGACAAGTATTACCTCAAAATAGAATCATAAACTTAATATTTTGAGACTATCGTTCCAGTTCCTTATTTGGAGGCGGCACTCAAATCCCTTCATTATCTTGCCACATATTACTTATTGTCATATTGCTTCTCAACATGTTATTTGTTTTTGAACAGTATAATCTTCTCATATTCTGTGGTACATACTAGGCCCTGGCCCTACACCTGTGCTCACATTGCTACCCAGTATGGTTCCCTCCATTTCTGGTTTGTTTCTCTCTACCCTTTTGTTCTCCCAGTTATTACTCCATTAATCCCTTCAGTGCTCAGCAAGAAGCTTAAGCAATTTTTACCCTTTCAGTCTGAATAAGTTTGTAAAGTGTTCCTTCAAATGAGTATTTAAACTTTATCCCATTGGACAATTTCCCCAATATTTTAGGGTGAATCTGTGAATCTTATAATAATTTTTAATCTTTGATAAATTTCTTTTCACTCCGAGTAATTCTGGATTAATGGTTTGGAACACTAGTCATGCAATGACAGTTATCATTTGACAGTTACTGTGAAGGCCTCTGGTGAATGACCTAGAAATTATAGGGAAATATAACATGATACAAGCAAACTAGAAAAACAGTTATAAGTAAAATGGCATATATGTTGCCCAGAAAACCCCAGGAGTAGACACATAAGAGTACTGAAGAACGTTTATTGTACCCTTACCTGAGAAACAAAGCATATACCAATCAAGAGTAAGAGAAAATAAAGAATGTAAACATTTCAAGGAAGCAACACTAGTATAGCTGAGGAAAAACGTTGCATATTGGCAAAGTGGAATCTTGGCTCTATAACAGTAATTCTAGTCCTCTGTTTGCAACACTCTAGGGTATCTCTAAATATTCCAAAGGGTGTTGTGAAATTCTGTAATAAAAAAATGTCTTTCAAAACAAAATTAGAATTTCCTTTTAATTTTTGAAAGTAAATACATGCCTTGTGGCACTAAAAACAACGAATAAGGTAGTGAGACTAAAAAATCAGACAAAAGGTAGGCACTATAAGTTCATAGGATACTCTAGGTCAACCTGAGGAGACAGGTTGCTGTTCCTGTAGGTACAGGTGTTCAGCGAATATTTAATAATCACCCCAGAATTCTGAGTTCCTGTTGTCAGTTTCTATAAAGCTCTGCAAAGACAAGTAGCACAAACACATGGCACTTAGTTAAACCAGCTAACCTACCATGAACATCCAGTCTTGGATCTATGAGAAAGGAGTTACTATTATAACCCATTCAGTAGGAAGAATACTTTCATGTCTAATTTCTCCAAAAATTATACTTTTCAAAATATTTCAAAATTTAGTCTAAATTGTTTATATGAAGTTGGTCAAGTTGATAAAATCACTTCAGAAGAAAAACTCCAAAATACTAAAGCTGTCTTCTAAAAGTGAAAAATATGTATTACTATAGCAGCAATAATTAACTTATGTGCTTTCCATTTTGTGAAACATTAGTGAAGAAATTAGAAATATTTTAAATAGCAGGTTTTGAAATAAACCATATTGGCATTAATTTCCATAAGATATTATATAAAAGAAAAGCTAATAATATTGATGTCAATAAAATAATAACTCAATCATTTCAGGATTAAAAGAATAAACCTGATTCTTACCCACAGTATGTTTATCCTTTTTTGCACACATTTTATTTATACTGCCAACCTCTATATTTATTCAGTCACTTATTGGGTTATACAAAATCATATTTTCTTAGATATCGAAATTATTAAATTCTTGCCAGTTCAGATACAACATATGAAGCATACATTTTAAAAACTGATAAATTGATCAAATTTTAAAAGTTTTGAACTTTAAAAAAAAACTAACTTGAAAAATAAAAGCCAATCTATGGATTGGGAGAAAATATGCTTAATACATATCAGTTAAAGGAATTGTATCCAGAATATTTAAAAGAATTCTTTCTACCCAATAAGAAGGCAAAACATTTAAAAAAGGGGGGCAAAGAATTCAAATAAATTCATCACTAAAAGAGATATATGATAGCCAACAAGCACATGAAGAGATGCTCAAACATCAGGGTCGTCATGTTTTCTGTAAGGGGTCAAATAGAAAATAATTTAGGCTTTGCAGGCCAAATATTCTCTACCACAACTACTCAACTCTGCTGTTATAGCAC